CGCAGCCTCAACTGCTGGGCTCCGGCGATCCTTCCACTCAGCTTCCAAGTAGCTGGAACTACAGGCGCGCGCTACCATGCCCGGCTAATTTTTTTATTTATGGTAGAGATGAGGTCTCGCCAAGTCCCCCAGGCGGGTCTCAAACCTGCGGGCTCAGGCAATCCACTCACCTCAGCCTCCCAAAGCATGGGATTACAGGCTGAGCCACTGAGCCCAGCTTGCAGTAGGATTTCAAATGCTTATGAATACTCTGCCCTCAAGGATGTGGAAGGTAACTCCCAGCTCCCTAAGTGCAAGCTGAGCATTCCTTTCACAATATGGGGGGACGGGAAGAGTAGATATAATAGTCCCTCAGCCAGGTGACCAAGGTCAACATAAATTATGTTGATGGTATGTACCCTTGATATACTATAATGAAAATGGCACTCTCTGTGGTCTTCCTTCCCCAAATCCATAACCCCAGTATAATTAGGAGAAAAACATCAGATGAATTCCAGTAGAGGGTCTTCTACGATATGCCTGGCTAATATTCCTAAAACCATGAGTGTCATCAAAAACTGTCACAGCCAAGAAAAGCCTAAGGAGACATAACAATTAAATCTAATATAGTATTTTAGAGAGGATGCTGGAACAGAAGAAGAGTATTAGATAAAAACTAAGGAACTCAAACTAGGGAGTTTAATCATTATTAAAATGAATTCAAATGTAACAATAATGGTTCATTAACTGTAATAAATGTACTTGACTAAGATGTTAATAATAGAAAAAAACTGTGTGAGGCTATAAAGACATTATACACTTTTCTCAATTTTAAAACAAATTTAAAGTTGTTCTCAAAAAATGAAGTCTATTTTATAAAATAAAATAGTCCTGTTTCATTTGCTTACCTTCCAGTTACTTGCCAACACAAGCAATTTAATTGAGAACAAAGAGAACACGAGAGAAAGAGAAGGCAAGGCTAAGTCCAGGAACAGGGTCTGGAAGAAATCAATTCAAGGCCAAAAGTGGATGCTAAGTCAAGAAAAAGCTCCTGAATTCATTTTGTAGTTGTTCTGAGAATAATTTCACCTGCCAAGGGTTTGGCCTTTTGCTGTAAAGTAAATATCTATTTACTTACTGACTAATTGCTACAAACCATCATTGTTGGGATTCAGAACAGCTAATTAAATACAAAATATATCATCAGGGATCCTCATGAAAGGAAAAACACTGTGCAAAGAGCAATATTTAAATTAATTTTTTAAGATGGAAAATAAGTTGTGTGTGTCTGTAAAGAAGAGTGGATAGCTAAAAATACAAGAAATGTGATTATGTTTCAAGATTTATAGGATCAAAATATCCTGTGCTAAGACGTTCTATTTTTCCACTATTAGAAACATGGCAGATTATTCATCTAATAGAGATGAAATATTAAATCTCAATTAGAATCTCAAACTAATGAAATGAAACCTTAGTAGTCACCTGCAGGGTAATTCTGAGTCATCTGAAATAATTCTGAAAGACTGATGTGCTCTTTCTTTCAAAGGCTACCGGAAGAAGTGGTTAAAAGTACCTTAAGGGAGGATCTAAGCCTGCTTAGTGTATACAAGGAAAGTCAAGTTATGGACATGGGCATACATATAACTTATTTGACAAACTTCCCCCAGATAATGTTATTTTCTGAATGCAATACTTAAATGTTGCCCCAAAACAAAGGCTCTTGCAGAGCAAATAGTCAAAAAAATAAAAAAAATTTTTTTAAAAGAGTAAGAATGGAGGGCTTCATCTGCATTTCCTTCTTTATAAACTTTATAAATGTCATCTGCATTTCCTTAAGAAAATAGCCAAGGTTTTCACTTCACAGAAACAGATTTGCATTCTCCAATATCTCCAATTTGAAGGTTACAGAATAAACTAAAATGGGGGAGGGAAAGTTTACTGAAACAGCTGTAAACACAAACTAAGGTAATCAAAGCAGTACTTGGAGGCCTGAAATTTGGTTGCCCTTTACCCCCTTTAGACAATCAACTGCCTCCCAGCAGGGTAGGAACCTTCGCTATTCCAATCATTTACATAAGAAATTAGCAACCAAAATTTACATCTGAATGGCAACTCCCAGAAGCCCATCAGGTGTTAAGTATCTGCTTATCTAAATTACCTCTAAAAATAGCTTTACCTTCCTTTAAGCCTTACATAAATAGAGGATTTCCCAGGAAGGGAAGGTGGTATGCTGAAACAAGTCCGGGCATTATATTGCTCTATTTCACTGCCATTTTTATAAAGAAAATTTCAGTTAGAGAACTCTTAGAACTATTTTTGAATGAACCAAATTAAAACAGCTATGTACAAACTATAAACTGCTTTTTGTTTTAAATGCCTGCCCCCCCCAGGAGAATTAAAAGGTGAGAATGAATAACGGACATTAATTATAAAAATCTAAAGTAGGAATCTAAGTGTAGGACAAGTTTTTTTTTTTTCTCGAAATTTAAATCTTGAACATGGGTGGGCTAGTTCTTTGCTTTCAGAAAAATTGTACCTCCTTTAATATGACTATTTCCCCTCCCACATGCTTTTCATATTCTCATGTTTAAAATTTAAGAATTACTGGCATGTCTAGATCTCTGAGTTTATATCTTGGAGGGCACTAAACAGCTTTCCAAACCAGGTTATAAGTAACATCAGTACCAGATATCCCAAAAGGCAAACTACAGACATACCTAGGGCACGGGAAAAACAGGGGAGCCTCTCCTTCATTTTTTGGTATAAAATTTGATATTTGAAAATTGTCCTTTAAAGTTTTTACTCTGGTTAAATGTAACTCTCACATATAACAAGAATCTCAGTGAGAATCCAACAATACTTAAAGCACAATCTCAACTTCTAGTTTGTTTACTTGCTCAATTCGTCAAACAAAAGGCATGAAGGTGTTTATAAAGCATGTAAGAAGAAATATAAGTTTAGTCATCTCCCACATCTCTACAGGTCTGAATTTCATCAATAATGAATAAGTTGATATAGGTTGTATTGTCTGAGCAATCACAAGCAGAAACAGATTTATAAGGAATGATTTGCTAAAGGAAGGCCCAAATAAAAGAGCAGTAGTACTAATTGCTAGAGACCACTTGTAGTGAATCAGGCACACATAAGCTACTAGTAGTATTTTTCAGTTCTTCCCATCTCCTAGGGAGAAGATTTTGACCTCCTTACTGGTTAAAAAAAAGTCAAAAGAAAATACAACTCCAAACAGTGCTATCTGGCTTTCCATATTTGGAAATTTATCCCAATAATTTGCACTTCAAGCTTTGTAAGGGGAATGACCTGAGATTTTATCCCTTTTCTTCCCTTCCCTCACCCTCCCCCCAAGATTTTTATGCACTGAAATCATCCCAAGTCCAAATCAGTCTGGGTATAAAAACTGTACTGTCTTCCACTGACATAACAAGATTCCTAAAAAATAAAAACTGTACTTTGGCTTATCTGGGTAAAGTATTACTCACAGACTAATTAGTCTGGGATGGTCATAAAATAGCACTGTAAACTACTATATGGAGGGAAGAAAGTATAATTTATGTTGTGATATCACCAAACCATGAAATACTAACAATGCTTTATACCAGGATTTTCTCATTAAATGTGTGGTCAAAGCTTTGGTGGAAGAGGAGGTTGACACTAATAACTAAAATGGGATTTTCTAAATATATACGTTATTATCCTCTACAGATAAAATTTACATTTATAATATTTACAGAATATTTACATTTTAATCCTTTATATTGGGTGAATGTCCAAAATAAGTGTGAACAGTAAATACAAAACATCTATCTCATCTTGCTCTGATTGTTTTGCTGGAGGGGGTAACAGAAAGAAGTAGGAAGAAGGAAGACTAAAAAAAATTCCTAAAATAGTAGCATTCTTGCAAGAAGTACGTGGAATTCTGGAAAAGCCTTGACCCGGGTTTAGACTTGCTTTTGCCACAGACCATCTTAAAGTCAGTCTCTTTATCTATAGATGGGATGATAATACTTGTCTTTCCTATAGACAGACACCTGCTGAGAACTCAGAGGAGATAATGTGAGTGAGAGCACAATCCTCACTTCTTTCCAGAATTTACTGGTTTCCAGCCTTGAGCACCACATGTGATGACTGGAAATAAGCCAGACAATATTGGAGGGAAAGTAGCAAAAAGGAAAACGAAACCGAAACCTACCATCTGTAGTGCAAGATCCTTCTGGGGCAGGTTTTTGTGAATAGGGAATTGGTGGGCTGTTTGAATCAGACATTTCTTCATCATCTTCGTCATCTTCCATCTCATTAACTGTTAGATTGTTAGAAAAATCCAGACTTCCATTTTGAGTGTAGCGGTGTACCAAATCTTTATCCAGATCCTCCACCTTGGGTTTGACATCTAGGTAAGCAAATACATCAGAGCAAATTTAATAAGAAGATGCTTTTGGAAAAATTCATAGTTCTGAAAGACATATTTGAAGAAAGGAAGTCTAGCATTTTCTAACATTTAGGCAATGTATTTAAAAAGTCCCAAGATTTGGAATCCCAACTTCTTTTAAAAGGAGTTCAGAAATGTGAATGATTGAGAGACTTACCTGCAGATGAGAAAGGATGCTGGTCAGTGTCCAAGTACAGCTGGGAAAATATTGGCCGTGGTACCACACTACTACACCGGAGAGAGGCTTCTATGGAGTTGTGGAGAGCTTCCTCAAATCGAGCAGATTTCAGTTGCCCAGCATATGAATTCCCCATGGTCTACACCCACCCATCCCAAAGAAAAAGAGGAAGAAAGGAGAAAATTCATATAATTAGAGGTTTTATGCCTCAAAGAACATGTATAGCTAATATCAACTCTGTCCATGCATCTTAAGATGTGAACTATTTGAACAATCCATTTGTCTTATTAAGGCAACTTGTGTAAGTTATCTGTTATCATATCACTAGTGCTTTTTGTCTTTACAGCTGAAACCTATCTTAAGAAGCCCCTTTAAGGGATCTCGTATCTAAGAATCAAACAGTAGTAAGTGCTTAAGTCAAGGCTCTCCAACCAGTAAATCAAGACTGACCTGTCAATTGTGAGGCGCAACTTGTTTAACAATAGGGTCACACCATCGCCTTAAAACTGGTGGGAGCCGGCTCAGTGGCTCAGCCTGTAATCCCGCACCTTTGGGAGGCTGAGGTGAGTGGATTGCCTGAGCCCGCGGGTTCAAGACCCGCCTGGGCAGCGAGATCTCATCTCCACAATAAATCAAAAAAATCAGCCGGGTGTGATAGCGCATGCCTGTAATTCTGGCTACTTGGAAGGCTGAGGTGGAAGGATCGCCAGAGCCCAGCAGGTCGAGGCTGTGGTGGCCGGGAGCGGCCACTGCACTCCAGTCTGGGCGACAGAGTGAGACTCCAACTCAAAAAAATAAAACCCAAAAAACAAAAAAACTGGTGGGCTACTGTAACCACACAGCAACTCTATCAGTGTTTCAGAGTAAATACATAATTATTTCTGTTTTACTAAGATCTACTACTCTGGAGGGGGGAAAGGAGCTCTTCTCTGGGAAAAAAATGAAAAGTTTAAGACAATATATTTAATTAACAAGTTCCTGCAAGCAAGAACTTAAAAGAAAGCCTTTTAAACTCAAATAACTCATTTATGTATTACTAGTATTTATTTGAAAAATTGTTGTTTCTTTTGCCTTATCTGAAGTAAAATCTTATTCGGGACCCTTCAGGAAAGTATATAATAGAATGTTTTGAAGTCATGACCTTTACTTCTTATCACTAATACTTATATAGTACCTGCTGGTTACAGAAATTTCCATGTATAACAATATCTACCATTTGTTGAGTGTTCACTAGAACAGTGATTCTCAAAGTACAGTCTTCTAGTCTTCCACGAAATCAAAACTATTACTAGGATATTATTTGCCCTTTTCACCCTGATTCGCTCACATGTGTACAGTGGAATTTTCCAGAATCTGCATTATGTGTAATATTGCAACAGACTGATTGCAGAAGCAGACAGGTTACTCTTCTCACTAGTTTTTCTTTGGAAATATAATTATTTTTCATAAAATGTGCCATTTATGTTAATAGGAGGTTTATTACTGTATGTTTTAAAAAAGTAATACATATTTTAGAATTTTCTTAGTTTTAATTTCTGGTAAATATAGCCTACATAAACCCTCCACAATTTTTAAAAATATAAAGGGGATTCTGAGACTAATAATTTGAGAATATTGGGTTAGACAGTACACTAAGCACTTTATAAAAATTATCTTATTTAATCCTCAGTGTTCTGAAGCAAAGATGACCTCTTTCCACTTCAGAAATTAAAAAACAAAACAAAACTGGAGCTTGAAGAAGCTAAGTGACTTGCCCACAACCACTCAGCTGTTAAGGGATGGAGCCAGGTCTTGGTATCTAGCTATGCAATGACAAATCTTGCTCTCTTACTGTACAGGCTCAACTGGGATAAATCTCATTTCAAGGCAATTTTGAAAGTATCTTAACTTCACTTCTCCTATCAAAGAGAGGGACAGACACTACATTTCATGTGAAATACCTCTTCTGAAAGGACCCTGAGTATGCATCTGGGCTCATTAGGAGTGGGAACCATAAGCCAGGGTGCCCACTCATAAGCAGAGAAGGGACAATGCATAGTACATCCACAACCCTATCTCAAGTTTCCCAGACTTATACACAGGAGCTCTTAGTGCAGGAGATTTTAGTGCCCCCTGAGTTTCTTTTATACAGCAAAGAAGGCTTCTTTCATGATTCCTGGTAGACATGATTTGGAGGAAAAGCCAGGATCCTATTTTTGTAACCTTTCTTATAATAGGTAATAAAAAACAAAATGCCATGTATTTAAATCAATGGTTCCTTTCTTTAAAAAATTATACGCAGCCTAGGTAACAAGGTGAGACACTGTTTCTACAAAAAATAGAAAAAAGTTAGCCAAGTGTGGTGGAGCATCCCAGCTACTCAGGAGACTGAGGTGGAAGGATCACCTGAGCCCAAGAGGTAAAGGCTGTGGTGATCCATGACCTTGCCACTGCACTCCAGTCTAGGTGGCAGAGTGAGACCCCAATTCAAAAAAAAAAAAAAAAAAAAAAAAAAAAAAAC